ATGCTGGAATACTGAGGAAAATATCGCCTGAAATTGACGGTATACCAAGCAATGCATCATCTCGTCTACCCTCGCCTGGTGACTTGACACGAACTCACACCAGCATCAGTTTGCTTGAACATATAAACTGGTGACATGTAATTGAATTTGATCTACTTTAAGCTTCGGGCTGTTGATGGGAAATTAGTCATAGTAAGATCGCTCAACGTAATGGGTAATAGTTTTGTAATAGGTAATAGTCTTGTAATAGGTAATATAGTCTCTTATAATGAGTAATAGTCACTTGTAATAGGTAACAGTCTCTTGGAATGGGTAATACTCTTGTAATGGGTAACACTCTATTGTAAATTAAAACCATTCAATATTGTAACTTGACACTGTTAGGAAATTGTCAATTATCAGCTGATTGAACGGGAAATAGTTTATAAGACTCCGACCTTATGTAATGGGAACTAGTTTATAAGACTCTGACTTAATGTAATTGGAAATAATTTATAAGACTTCGACTTGATATAATGGGAAATAGTTTATTATAAAGGACGTTTGAAATAATTACTAATAAACTCGGATCAATAAGGCAGCAGTATCAGTCGCTGGTCACACAACATGAACGGAAGTCGTGGGTTTCTAAAATCACATATCCTGAAGTAACTTTTTTATGCCGTCAACTCGAATCATTAATTGACTCTGGGAAACGAATCATTTGAGCTGATCAGCCAACAGCAAGGACCTACTGAACGTGTCAGAAAACGGTAGCCACAACAATAGGGGATAGAAGCTATTTAAGAATATGTATTTCAGCTGTTGATATGAGCTCGTAACAGAGAAGGGATTACGGTGCTGTTATTGTTGTTGTTGAGGGATTCTGAATCACACGTAGAGAAAAACGGCAAAGGTTCCAATTGTAAGAGATTGGATCGCTTTCTCTCTCTCTGTTTGTGGACTTAATATCGAGGAGGAAGTGTAGTGACGGTGTAACTCTCAGTAACTGGGGTGGAATGGGCAATTAAGTTTTGTTTGGGAAAAGGAATTATGAATTAAAGATCAAATTAGAAAATTCATCACGTTAATACAAACAACATGTGGAGGTAATAGAGCCTCGAGGTTAACAACGAATGTAATATTTCGTTTATAACTTGAGGTGTTTATCCCGGCAACCAACACACTTTTCATTAAGGTAAATGAAATCTGATGCCTCGGGGATAAGTTCAAAAGCAATTCGAGTTGTGTATAATGCTTGAATAACTTGAGGCGTTTCTTAAATGTAGGAAATACCAAGTGAACCTCACCCTACAGGCCTACACCTTGACTGGCCGTACTTTATTGACACTTAATTAAAAAAATATAACCCTATACTGTGATTAGTTTCAAATGCTTTGTTTCTTTCCTATCTTTTTTAGTTTTAGAAGAAAGTTAACACGCGATAAAGAAGTTAACACGCGATAAAGAAGTTAACACGCGATAAAGAAGTTAACACGCGATAAAGAAGTTAACACGCGATAAAGAAGTTAACACGCGATAAAGAAGTTAACACGCGATAAAGAAGTTAACACGCGATAAAGAAGTTAACACGCAATAAAGAAGGTAACACGCGATAAAGAAGGTAACACGCGATAAAGAAGTTAACACGCAATAAAGAAGGTAACACGCGATAAAGAAGGTAACACGCGATAAAGAAGTTAACACGCAATAAAGAAGTTAACACGCGATAAAGAAGGTAACACGCGATAAAGAAGTTAACACGCAATAAAGAAGTTAACACGCAATAAAGAAGTTAACACGCAATAAAGAAGTTAACACGCAATAAAGAAGTTAACACGCGATAAAGAAGTTAACACGCAATAAAGAAGTTAACACGCAATAAAGAAGTTAACACGCGATAAAGAAGTTAACACGCAATAAAGAAGTTAACACGCGATAAAGAAGTTAACACGCAATAAAGAAGTTAACACGCAATAAAGAAGTTAACACGCGATAAAGAAGTTAACACGCGATAAAGAAGTTAACACGCGATAAAGAAGTTAACACGCGATAAAGAAGTTAACACGCAATAAAGAAGTTAACACGCAATAAAGAAGGTAACACGCGATAAAGAAGGTAACACGCGATAAAGAAGTTAACACGCAATAAAGAAGGTAACACGCGATAAAGAAGTTAACAATAAAGAAGTTAACACGCGATAAAGAAGTTAACGCGATAAAAAAGTTAACACGCGATAAAGAATGTAACATGCGATGAAGAAGTTAACACGCAATAAAGAAGTTAACACGCAATAAAGAAGTTAACACGATAAAAAAGTTAACACACGATAAAGAATGTAACATGCGATGAAGAAGTTAACACGCAATAAAGAAGTTAACACGCGATAAAGAAGTTAACGCGATAAAAAAGTTAACACGCGATAAAGAATGTAACGTGCGATGAAGAAGTTAACACGCAATAAAGAAGTTAACACGCGATAAAGAATGTAACATGCGATGAAGACTTGTTCTAAATATAATTATCTTTTTAGTACACAGTCTCTCCAGGTATCGCCCAGTCAGACACTCCACCAGGTCAGCACACAGTAGGTCCCAACAGCTGAACCAATGACACACTATAAAGGATCTCACAGGAAAAACAACTAAGCTTCACGAGGTTTAAAGTTCTTTTGTATCATGAATGTGAAATGAAAACAATATTAATTTAGATTGTTGCGGTGTTAGGTGACGCAGCTGGTGTAGACTCTCATGTATGTCAGAGCGTCATCTGTGGTGTAAACTCTTCAACTCTTTCTTCGGGTCTTTAACTCTTCAAATATAAACTATGTTAAACTTATCAACTGTGGTTCAGAAGTTTAAGAGTCACATGAGAACGTCAGGAATGAGCTCTGAGTGATGGTAAGTACTAAGCTTTGAACTTTGTGGTGTGTAGAACAATCTGTTTATTTCTAGTGTAGACAACGGCTCCGCTTTTTCTCAACTAATAGTTCTTAATGTTTATGGTTTTCAATTATGTTATATATTTTTATTTTATTTATCGGTGATCTTTTTTTTTTTTTTTCATTTTTCAAATTTGATCAGTTAGTTATGGGCAGTACAAGAAACGGGGCTGAGTTCCGCAAGACTCCTCCATATTTATCCAGATTTCAACATTTATTGTATATTTTATTATTATTATTTCATGGCCAGCACCAGTTATATAAATACATTATAAATATATAACTTGAGTGGGGGTGTGAACAGGTCATATCAAAGGTGACCTCTACGTGGCCGCCAAGTTGTCCACAGACCAGGGTGCAGTTCATGAGGTACCCCTAAAGTCACTCATTGTCTACGTTAGTAAATAATTCTTGTATCCAGACTTATCATATTGTCCTAAATTTGTGTTAGTATATTTATTTTTATTATTATCATCGGGGTATAGTTACTCACAGTACCTTTACCGGGTTATATAGAGCAATGTGAGTGGACACTTTTCATTTAGACTGACTTAATTTTTTTTTCTTTCTTATTCGGACAAAAAACACGAATGTTAGTATAGTGATCGATGCTCATTATACATCCGGATTTAACATCGTTTATCTTTAGTAGTCTGGATTTAGCGTCACCACTTGCTAAACCGGATTTATTGTCGACATCTTCAGTTACCTGGCTTTAATGTCGTCTTTCAACCACCCTGCTCAGTAACCCGGATTTTAAGGTCGTCACCAACTGGGGTGTAATGGCCGTCATTCTCAACTACCCAGATGTGTCTCTTCTCTGCCCCTTCATAACCCTTATTTATATCGTCGGTGTTCAGTAAACTGGATGTATAGTCGTCAGCTTCAGGAACCTAAGTCACCTGGTCGCAATTTGAGGAGGAGCAGCACCTCGACACCTTCACCTACAGGATCCAATAATGAACTACAGATCTGTCAGAGAAAAGAGTGAATTAAATTTTCGGTTCCGCTGCTCTGAGGTCCTTATCTTACTACCTAATGCCTTGTGGTTCTGACCCTGACGACTCGTGTGCCATGATCAGGGACTTTAAGCCTTGAGCCTCAGTTCAATAAGGGTCAGCTTTCGTCGAGTCAAAAAGACTTGGTAAGAAGAAAACTGGAGGTGTGAAACTGATTGAAGTGGTTCTTTCGGCTTCTAGTCACTAATCATTGCACACCTGTGACGGACGGAAGAGGTAGGTTCCCTAGTATGTAATGATAACCCTGGCTGCCCCATGTTGGTTATACCTCAAAGTGCATCTTTTCTCTATAATAAGTCTTTAGAGTTGTATAAACAGACATCCTTGGAGAAAAAAATGTATCGCATGTATGTGTGTGTGTGTGTGTTTATATACAGGTCATGTTCCCTGTGTTCCGATGATGGCATTCCCAAGGTAAAGAACAACAGCGTTACTTATTATCAATGTACTCAAGCTAGTTCATCATGTGTAGTAATACTTGTTAATAATAGTGTTCACGAGTCAGATTTACTTATCTTATCTTATCTTGCTTATAAATGATAACACTGTAATACTGAGTTATCTCTTGTCATTATTAAGTTACAGTTTGTTCTTCCTGCACTCAAAGTTTTTTTTTTCCTGTTCATGATAACTCAAGAAGTAAAGTATATATATTTTTTAAAGTCAGAAGACGATTTGATTATTTAATGTGTATCAGAACATATTATTACTGCTACATTCATTATCTCCACCATCATTACCATCACTAACATCGCCACCACTACCGCTACCACCACTACTACCACCACCACCCATCCACCTTACACTACCACCACCACTACCACTATCACCACCACTACCACTATCACCACCACTACCACCCATCCACCTCACACTACCACCACCACTACCACTATCACCACTACCACCACCACCCATCCACCTCACACTACCACCACCACCCTATCACCACCACTACCACCACCACCATCCACCTTACACTACCACCACCACTACCACCATCTCATCACCCCTTACCCCCCACCCATCCACAACCTCTACTAATACTGAGCCACTTACAGCCACTCGACTCGTCTCTTAGCCGCCACTACCTTACGAAATGTCTTGGGAACGAAGAATTTGGCTGAGATCCTGAGCGAGAGAGAGAGTATTTCACACAACATGCAGAGTTCCCTAGACGAGGCTACCGATCCGTGGGGCGTCAAGGTGGAGCGAGTAGAGATGTAAGTACAACCTTTATACCTATCCTGTCTTGGGAGGGATAGGAGGGGTAGGGATATGAGAGGTGGGAAGGGATAGGAGATATGGAGGGATTAAGAGCGGATTAAGGATAAGATAAAGGAGTCGGAGGGGTGGGTTTTGGGTACATGTGGGCAGGATATGGGTGGGTGTGGGTTAACCATCTCTACGTCCCTATTATCTCTCTCCCTGTCCCCTAATCTTTATCCCCTCCCCTTTACCTCCTCTTCTTCCCTCTTCCCTCACCTTTATGGAACCCCTTACCTCCCCCTCCTCCTCCTCCTCCTCCTCCAGGGACCGCGAATTGATGTTAAAACTCCATTCAGGCCAAGAGCTCCCTCCCGGCACAAGTGATTTGCGTACATCAACCCACAGTGCTCTCTGACTCCGCTTTTTGTTATTCTTGGTTGGCTGAGTCCTGGTCCTGCCGTCTGGCCACTAACTGTCCCACACCACCAGCTAATGGGTCTGGAAGCTATTACTGGGGGGTGTAAATGGGAACAAGTGAGAAGTAATTCAAATGGGAGGCTGAGGGCGGTGAAATAGGTAGAAGAAATTGGTAATGGGAAATGAATCGGGGGGGGGGGGCGCTTTGTTGTAAATATTAATGAAAGCTTGAAGTGTTTTCACAAGAGAGGTCATCTACCACCCGTGCAGCGCTTCACACCCACTAGGCACACTGTGACGTACGTGACCTTAGTGGGGGGGAGGTCACATTTAAAGGTCAAGTTGAAAACAAAACTGACCTGATACGTCTTCAATACTCATCCAGTCATCAGTATGCAGGACCTGTTAACACTAGTACATCGGCTGTTGCTCGGCACCTGATACAAACTGACGACCGGACAGACGGATGAGCCAGAAATAATAATGGTCTGTGTTACTGCGTCAGATAATGTAAACAAAATATAGACTGGTCTGAATTACATAGATATAGATTAAAGCTTTAGATAGGGTAGACAAGAGACAACTGACATACTTGGGGCTGAAAGCTATAAAAAAAATGGCAAAAAATTGGGAGGGAAATGAATGAAAATTCTTATGATGCATATTAAATAGGGACAAGAAAACACATTCACAGAAAACAATAGAGAAGAGGAAGTAAACAGAAGCAGATGAGATATAAAGCAATTAAGATATAAGGAAAAGTTTTGGTAAATACTTAAAAAATAAAAGCTGCAAAGAAGAGCAAAAGGGAGATACGACTTGATAATGACGTAATAAATGATAGATAAAAGAGTAGTGGAGAAAGGGTGATGGGAAGAAGAAGAGAAAGATAAACAAGGAGAGGGAAGAGAAGATAAAAGAGAAATAATAACATATGTCATTATCCATGAACAACTACGCTGGACTGGCCATGTTACCCACATGGACTACAGTAGACTGCCAGAGCAGCTACTTTACAGTCACCTAACGAATAGTAAACGTAACGCCGACGGGCAACTGAAGAGGTATAAGGATAGTCTTAAGACAAACCTGAAAAAGTGCCATATCGACCTCCTCACCTGGCAGACGATTACTCCACACCGTAACGCTTGGAGGAGCACCACACAAGAAGGTGTCAATACTTTCGAGTTAGCCAGACTGCATACCGAGGCAGACAAGTGCCAGCGCCGGAAAGACGCTGCCGCCGCCCCTCCCGCACTAGTTGTAGCCCTCCACACGTGCTATATCTATAGATGGCATTGCTGGTCCCTTATCGGGCTCTTTAGTCACCTCATAACTCACCAACCTAGGTGACATCCTTAATAACTCACATCATTGTGTCATAGTTGGATGATCGTCATACTTGGCTCCGAGTGACAGCAAAGTAGTAGTGGTGGGAATGGTAGAGAACTAAAAACATGATTCAAGAAGAGGAATGAAGATGAAAATTATAACAAGACAGTGAAGGAATTAAAAAGAAGAAAAGGAATTAAAAAAAATATTCAAATGATAAAGTGAAAACAAGAAATGGAAAGAATTACAGACAAGAAGGAAAATCAAGAACATGAAACAAGAAATACGAAAAAAGGAGGAACATAGGAACAAAAAATCAAATGAAACAGACAAAAAGTAAATAGGTAAAAGAATATACTAATAAAAAGAGGAAAAAAATAAAATGGAAAGCAGAAAATAACAGACTGAGAGAAGCAAGACTCAATACTGTGTTTCCCTCAGATATTTTGTTTTACTGACAAATTTTACAAACAATTTAATTTAATGCTATTTTCTTTGAGGATAATGAAATAATTTTAAGCTTTTAGAGATGTGTGTTAACCTGGGATGTGTTGAGTGTGTTAACCTAGGACATGTCGAGTGTGTTATACTGGGATGTGTCGAGTGTGTTAACCCTGGATGTGTCGAATGTGTTAACCCGGGATGTGTCGAATGTGTTAACCCGGGATGTGTCGAATGTGTTAACCCAGGAAGTGTTGAGTGTGTTAACCCTGGATGTGTCGAGTGTGTTAACCCGGGATGTGTCGAGTGTGTTAACCCTGGATGTGTCGGGTGTATTAACCCGGGATGTGTCGAGTGTGTTAACCCTGGATGTGTCGAGTGTGTTAACCCAGGAAGCGGTTTTGAGGGTGTTTAACCCCTTGAGGTGTCGAGTGCAACTTGGATGTGCCGAGTGTGTTAACCCTGGATGTGTCGAATGTGTTAACACGCAAGGATATACTTCAAGCCCTGACTCACGCTAGATGCACCGGCTCTGACGCATGTTAGGTTGGGGGCAGTGAGGAGGGTTAAAGGGTGTGAGGAGGTTGGGGGGCAGTGAGGGAGGGGTTGGGGGCAGGGAGAGAGGCTGGGGGGGCAGGAGAGAGGGTTGGGGGGGGCAGGGGAGGGAGGGTTGGGGGGCAGGGAGGGAGGGTTGGGGGGGCAGGAGGAGGGTTGGGGGGCAGGGAGAGGTTGGGGGGGCAGGGGAGAGGGTTGGGGGGGCAGGGAGGGAGGTTTGGGGGGGGCAGGGAAGGGGAGGGTTGTGGGGGGTAGGGAGAGAAGGTTGGGGGCAGGGGAGAGAGGGGTTGGGAGGCAGGAGAGAGGGTTGGTGGGCAGGGGAGGAGGGTTAAAGGTGAGGAGAGGGGAGGGGGGGCAGGGAGAGGGTTGGGGGCAGGGGAGAGAGGGTTGTGCAGGGAGGAGGCTGGGGGGGCAGGGAGGGAGGGTTGGGGCAGGAGAGAAGGCTGTGGGGGGCAGGAGGGGAGGGGTTGGGGCAGGAGAAGGCTGTGGGGGGCAGGGAGAGAGGGGTTGGGGGGCCAGAAGGAGGGGTTGTGGGGGGCAGGGAGAGAAGGCTGGGGGGCAGGGAGGGAGGGAGAGGGCTGGGGGGCAGGGAGAGGCTGGGGGTCAGAAGGGAGGGTTGTGGGGGCAGGGAGAGAAGGTCAGGGGACAGGAAGGGAGGGTTGTGGGGGCAGGGAGAAAAGATTGGGGGGCAGGGCGAGAGGGTTGGGGCAGGAGAGGGGTTGGGGGGCAGGAGAGAGGGTTGGTGGCAGGAGGGGGGGCTAGGAGGCAGGAGGAAGAACAGAAGAAAAGGCGATACAGAGAAAGAGGAAGGAGAAGAGCAATATGTGAAGGAAGTAATGGTGGAGGAGCACCCTAGTACCTGGAGTCAAGCCGGATTTATGGTGCTTATAGTGACGCGGCGAGGGTGTTGTGGCGCCCCTCTACTGCATGTCCTCCCCTCCACGCCTTCCTTTCCTTCCCCACGCCCTCCTTCCTTCCTTCCCCCCCACACCTCCCCTTCCTTCCCTTCCCCACACCCTCCCTTCCTTCCTTCCCCCACGCCTCCCTTCCCCACACCCCTCCTTTTCTTCCTTCCCCACACGCCCTCCTTCCTCCTTCCCCCACACCCTCCTTCCCTCCTTCTTTCCCCACACCCTCCTTTCCTTCCTTCCCCCCACACCCCTCCTTCCCTCACACCCTCCTTCCCTCCTTCCCCCACACCCTCCTTCCTTCCTTCCCACACGCCCTCCATTGGGAATCCCCTCCTTCCCTCACACCCTCCTTCCCTCCTTCCCCCACACCCTCCTTCCTTCCTTCCCACACGCCCTCCATTGGGAATCCGCCAAAATATTAACCCATCTCCTATAATACCTGTGTCAGCTTTGGTTAAGTCGATGTTAATTATAAACTCTTATAGTGCTCTTTATTAACACAGTAACATACAGTTGTGTTGACGTAAGATCAGCGAACACGTAAGATTATGTACTGGGGTTAGCTGATAGAACTAAAGGTCTCAGGGACTTTGATAAACTTTCACCACATAAACTGAGAAACAAGTGCTATCCAATATCCTCACTAACTCAACTACGATACATTTACAAACAATATCCAAAGTGGTGCATTCCTATTTCCATTCCTATTCCTGACCATTCCTATTTCCCGACCATTCCTATTCCCGACCATTCCACTGTGTAACTTCAGCCTGCAATAGACACACCATATATTTGGTATTTGAATTTTGAGCATAACTAAGAGATAATGGAGCGGTAGACAGGACAAAGAACTCTGACCCGTAAATTCCCTGTCTACAGAGGTCCAAATACTAACTCGGCCTAAAAGTTATATACGTGGTAATTGTTCGCGGGAAAACAACCTTTAAGCTAACAGGACATAGAGTCTGAAGTGTAAACCAAATGGCAGCACACGGGAAGTAAATCCTGACGTCGACACATTGATGGGGTGATAATAATACTACACTACCACGTAATCCTATAAACAAACATACGGTGAAATGATCCATATATTCCCTTGGCGTAGAGGTCAAAGTACTACACACAATCAGCACTCCGAGTTTTATAGTGTTACTCACAGAATATTCGCTTTTAAACTTGATCAGCAGCGTGTGGGTGTTAGTACTGCTGCTCAATGGCCTCACAGATTAAAGGTTCAATGTTTGTGTTGCAGGTAATCACTGATAGGATAATAATCTGCATAAATATAACATTGCGCCAGGGCACTAGTTCACCATGCAAGGCTGCAGGTATAAACAATTAATGTGTACTAGCACAAG